AGGTTCAATTCGTTAATATCTTAACGAACATATATTAATAAGAAAAAGCAAAAAAAAAAAAAACTATTTCATGGGCGCCAAATTGCCAATAGTTATTTACCTTTTTGTATGCGCAATTGTGCAGCTGAAGCCTTCTTTTGCTGGCCACCGCGAGCCGTTTGATCACCATCCTTTTTTTGTTGTTTCAGCGAGAAAAGTTTAATCATTTTGCTATATTTGTTGGCCCGCTTGGCGCTTGCTCGCGTCGTCCGTCTACACAGCTTCCACTTGTGAGGTTTAGCGCTTCGATTGCAGGCTGGCCGTTTGTATGTTTCTGCTTTTGTGTATCAGATTGTGGGCATGTTTGAAGTATACAATTGTTTATACGATTGCCATTTATATGTTAAATTTTGTGTCGTACCTTAAAATTTTGGTTTGGTTGTTTCAAGTGCTTGCTTCTTCTTGCTCTCTTTAGCTCTCAATTTCTCTGCCTGTCACTCAAGGTAGCGCAGCGAAAACAATCGATTGCACTATCGTCGCTCGTATATTCACTGTCATAATCGATATGTTAAAAGAGTTGCCACCCGACGCGTTTGCAATTAATTATATGCGATATTATTATTATTATTTTTTTTTTTTTTTGTTAATTTTGCCACACTTTACTGGAAACAGTTAAAACTAAAACCGATAAAAACCCATTAACATGAAAACTCAGTTGTTGTAAACAGTCTACTCAGTTGTGTCTATCGATAGTTCATTCGATTGTTTTTCACCTGCACATGTTACGAACAACGCGCAAAAACAAAAAGGTTTAATTGACAATGTCAGCGGAGCCCGAAATTGCCAAAGATGCAGTTCTCAAGCGTAGCGAACGCATACCGGCAGACACACCACAGGTGCACGGCTACGATTTCAACCAGGGCGTTAACTACAGCAAGCTGCTGGAGTCCTATGCGCACACCGGCTTTCAGGCCACGAATCTCGGCCTGGCCATAAGGGAAATCAACAAAATGGTAGGTTGTTTTGCTTTCTGGAAACCACACTACACAATACTATATACAGGCAGTTGGATTGCAGGGCTCAGCCGCTGGGCGCTGAGGAGCAGGATCTGCACGAAACGGACGAGTTTATCAGGCGGCGCACTAAATGCACCATTTTTCTGGGTTACACCTCGAATCTGGTATCGTCGGGCATGCGGGAGACGCTGCGTTTTCTGGCCGAGCATCGCATGATCGACTGCATTGTGACAACGGCCGGCGGCGTGGAGGAGGATTTCATTAAATGCCTGGCGCCCACATTTATGGGCTCCTTTGAGCTTGCCGGACGAGAGCTGCGCGAACGTGGCATAAATCGCATTGGCAATCTGCTGGTGCCCAATGACAACTACTGCAAGTTTGAGGATTGGCTAATGCCCCTGCTAGACGAGATGCTGGAGGAGCAGCGCAGCAAGGGCACCGTCTGGTCACCCTCACGCATCATACACAGGCTGGGCGAGCGTATTGCCGATCCGAGCTCCATATATTATTGGGCGGCCAAGAATCGCATACCCGTCTATTGTCCCGCTCTAACCGATGGGAGTCTTGGTGACATGATGTACTTTCACTCGTTCCGCCAGCCTGGCCTAGTTGTGGACATATTATCGGATCTGCGGCGACTCAACACGATGGCCGTCAAGGCAATCAACAGCGGCATGATTATTGTGGGCGGCGGCCTCATAAAGCATCACATTTGCAATGCAAATCTGATGCGCAACGGCGCCGATTATTCTGTTTTCATAAACACAGGCTCCGAGTTCGATGGCAGCGACAGCGGCGCACGACCGGACGAGGCCGTATCCTGGGGCAAGATACGCAAAGAGGCCACCCCAGTCAAGGTGTATGCCGAGGCCACTCTGGTCTTTCCGCTCATTGTGGGCGAGACCTTCGCCAAGCGACATTTTAGCCAGAAGGAGGCCACATTGTAATTGTGTATAGAAGTAAATATAGTGAATATGTTCCATAAACGACCATGGAAACTCGTCCAATTTTCTGCTGGCCGCATTCTAACAACCACTTTGAGCCACAATATAGGCAGCTGCTCCAGTCTCCAAAGTGTCGTGCTTTATGCAGCCACTGGGATGCTGTGGGGGCGATGAATTGGGAGGGAGGGGGGGGGGGGGCATGAAGAAAACTGCCCAAGCAAAGTTGTTGTCAGCCGCAATGGCTGCATTGGCAGCAGGAAGCCATTAAGCGTTGTTCCCTGTGCGAAGATGTGCAAAATGTGATAAATGCAACAAGCAGCCCATTTTCAACTCCAATGGTAAGTCGCAGCTAGAGCTGGGCGCGTGTCGTGTGTTTGCGAAACAAAGATCAAGCTCGTGTCAAGCCCATGTCAAGTAGAAAATATAAACTAACACAGATGTTTATAAATGAGCTAATATAAAAGTGATTGTATTCATTTTTGGAATACTTCAATAAAAATGTATCTAAAATTGATTGTAGTTAATTACTATAGAATAAACAAAAAAAAAAAAAAATAGGGTTTTTAATTGATAGAATAGAATAGAATAGATAATATAAAGATTTCGTGCGTGTACGTGTTGTGTTGAATATATCGACCCATCTCTAGCTGCAGCTCTAGCCGCAATGCTTCTTCTTCTTAATAGCTGCTTCTACGTTATAATGGATACGTAGTGCACTTTGCTTTTTCGCTCCTTGGCAGTAACGGCGAAAATGCAACTTTTGTGTAGCGCTTTAACAATGAAACGAAAGTTGCGGTTCTCGCCGGCCGCGGCTGCTGCTGCCACCCCCCCCTCCCGCGCTTACCCATAAGCCGTAGCCGTGGCTCCTCGGGTTTTTTGTCAAACGCAAAAAGGCAACTAAGTCGTTGGCGTAATTGCTTGGGGTTTGCTGCGCACATAAATTTTCGAGCATGCTTCTGCCTTGGCGACTTTTCACTTTTGTCACATTTTCCCACACCCCACACCACGCGGCCCGCCGCTTTCTGCTTAATAGTCAGAAATTGTTTTGGGAACAATGCATTCGCATAAGCTCACAAATTTGTCATTAATTTTATAACGCTAATGTTACTCCTCATCCACAAAGCCAGAATCTCAAATTTTATGTTTATAGCTCCCCCCCACCTCGCCAGCCGCTCATACCAAGAGCTAACGGTAAGCCCCTGCTGTCTGACCAAAGTTTTCGCTGTCTGTGCGCATCATTAAAGTTGAAAAAAAAACTTTATGCACAGTTATTTCTTTCGCCGCATTCTTTTTCGCCGCGCTTCGACAGTTGGTGTTACATGTTTTGAGCTATTGTCATGCAGCTTGGTTGGTGGAGGGGGATGGGCGCGGGGTGGCCGGCTGCTGCAGCTGCATTTGCTATGCAACTTTTTTGCAGTCGCAACTTTTATGTTCATTTTTATTATTGCTGCAAATATGAATGGGTCGGTCGCTTGAAGTTCAGCCAACCGTCATGTACTTATTACCAAATGCTCTGCTATATCAAATTTATGAAATGTTCGGAATACTTTTGGCAACAAATGAGAGAAAAATGAGATTTTGCAATCGACAACGTTTGAACTTTCGCTCTATTTGTGTCTATTAGAACGTGCTGCAGGTCTGTAACAGGTAGAGTGCAGTCAAATATGGAAGTTATTACTCTATTTAAATCTCTAGCGTTTTGTTTTAGACCTTTGCAAGGCCAAAGAAATGTGGCCTTAAAGTAGCTTATGTTAATTTAATGTAGCATACTTTTCAGTGCGGGCACTAAATTTGTATTTTAATATTTATTGCAGCATACTCTTAAGCATGCTAGCATGGTGATTTTCACTATTAAAAATCTGCGTGACACATTTTACTTTGCAAAACCTAACATAAAAATGATTTACTTACGAGACTGAGCATGCAATTATATTGAGTTGATTAATATAAAATGTTGCATAGCTTTTAACTAGATTGAACCAATTAAAGAGACCTTACTGTATTCTAGTTTATGGGGCTGTAGAGAAATTTGTATGCTAATATAAAGAAGTGTTGCATACTTTCGAGAGCAACCATTTTATCAACTTGTAGCTCCTACAGAGGGTACGCCCAATTTATGGGACTCCACTGTAACGCATTTCTTAATGTGAGAGAAATAATTGTCTTAAGACTGGCTGCACTATGTTATTCAATCTGCTCTAAGACAAAGAAACTTCAAGCATATTACAATTTCAAAAACGTAAATTAATGCTTAATATTGCAAAATGATTGGTGCTACAATTACAACAGCCACTAGACAGCACTGTGGGCACGCTCAGTTTATGGGACACCACTGTAGCGCAGTTCTAAGCGCAATAGCGAAAACTGCAGTAAACTATAATCCAGCTGCACTTTGGCTGGCACCAACTGCCACAACTTGCGGCAAACTCTTGGCAAGAAAATCAATTGCACTTATTATCCCAGCGCCATTATCGGCAGCCACACAGGCCAGCCCGGATTGTCGTTAAGAAGTGCTTAACTGCATGCTGTCATATCTAATGCCAGCCACACACAAACACACACACACACCCACACACAGTGCTTAAAAACTAATTACGAGCAAAGCTGTTGTTGTTGTTGCTGTTTTCTTTCGCTCACCAGGCCAGGCAAGTGCGTGGCAATACGTTCCAAGTTGTGCTTTGTTTTCGTTAGATTTTTTTTTTTCTTCCGTTGTCCTGGCCAAGTTTCCAGTGATTACGAGCAAATTAAAACTACATTAAAACTTTGGCGAGTCCAGTTCCTGGCAATTGACAGGCACACGCACACACATGCACATGTGCAGTGCTGCCAAGTTACGTTTAAAAAAAAACGGCCAAAACATATGTGAAAAACAGCTAAAACTAGCGGAATTAGCTTGCTGATAGTACAGAAGGGCCAAAAAACAAGCTAAGTTAGCTCTGGAAATAGCCAAATTCAGCTGGAAATTATCTAAATGGGCAGCACTGCACGAGAGCTTCTGCTTGAGTTTGTTTCTTCTCGCAACTATTGATTTCGGCAATAACAAAAATAAAAACAATCTGTCGAACTGTTAGCAGAAATAGTAGAAAATATATAAGTTTGTATATATAAAGGGGCGCTAATTGTCAGTTCCTAACATTTGGTGCTGAACTCATCGTTCTTCAGAAATTTCTCCTTCAGCTGTTCCGTGGCGTGCGGCTCACAGTACTGGCACGTGCGCTTCTCGTATATCTCCTTGGTCAGCGTCTGCCTGGAGCGCTGCACCGACGTGGATGCAGTGGTTGGTGCCAGCTGCTCCCTTTCGGCCTGGCACTCGGAGCAGCCGCATGTGCCGCTGCCGGTGCCGCTGCTGCCGGCGCCGTTTCGTATGGTTTGGGTGTTGGCGCTGCGCAGCAGCTCCTCGTATGGCGGCATCTGTTTGGCCTGGTAGCTGCTCGTCCTGGGACTGCCCGGGGGTTGTCGGGAATCGGACGTGTAGTATGGACGGGTCGCTGAGGCTGCCGCCTGCTGCTCCCAGAAGATTTGCTCGCGTTGTTTCAGATCCTGAACGTGTGCCTGGAGTTGCTGGCGTGCCTGGATTAGGGCGCGCTGCTCATGACGCAGCAGCTGCTGCTTGCTCTGGAGCGCCTCCTGCTGTTGCTTGAACAGCTGATCGTAGAGCATGCGCACATTCTTCTCGCGCCGCTCGCCCGCCTGCTCCAGCATATTGTCCAGCACGGTCTCCAGCCGGCGATCCAGCTCGAACAGCTGTTTCCGTGTTGCCGGCTCATCGTCCAGCAAATCCTGCAGACAAATGTGCAGAAAATTCAGTGGTCCACTGGCTGCTGTCCATTCCCGTAGCCGGCGCATGGCCAGCAGCATGCCGCGCTCCAGCCTGGGCAACAGCGGCGGGGCGCGCGGCTTGGGCAGCTCCATCTGAGCCGGGGTCAGGCGCTGCTGCCAGCTGGTGTCGGCCTGCCTGAAGCGCTGCTCGTTCTCCAGGGTGCGCGCGTGCATCAGGTTGATCTCTCGGATTAGTGCCTGATTCTGCTGCGTGAGCAGCTCGAAGCTGGAGTCGGGCACATAGCTAATGGATGGCCCGCCGCCGCCGTCGCCGCTTTCCAGGCGTTCCAGCTCCGGAGCGCGCGGCATAAAGCGATCCGTGCTGTTGCTATAGCCGGACAGATTTGTTGTCAGCGCCGAGGCCGCATCCTCATTATCCTGCACATCCAATTGCAGCTCCGGCAAAGCCGGATGCAATGGCTTCGGCACGGGCTCCTGCTTCGCTTCGTTGACCGGCAGCTGCAGCTGCTCCGCCTCCTCCTCGTCCTCCTTCTCCTCCTGCCTACCTTGATAGTCGCTGAGCACCTCCTCCAGCTGGCGATTGGCATTGTCCAGTTTGGTAAAGGGCATGCCCAGCTTGCCCATCTCCCGCAGCTGGCCATACATGAGCAGCATCAGACAGTTCCGGGCATATTTGTCCCGCTTGCCCGCCTTGTGGAAGAGCTGCAGCCAGCGCTGGCTAATCATAAAGTCCGACTTGCTTATCTTATTCGAGTAGACGTCGCACATCATTCGCAGCTGCGACACGAAATGTCGGTCCAGTGAGTTCTCGTTCAATTCACTCATTTTCACCGATTTTTTATGGGAGCGAGCTGATCTACAGTTTTATGTTTAGCCAATTGTTTGAATTTTTACATCGAATCTACGAAATTTTTTATAGTTTTTTTTTTTTTCTGTTCGAAGTCCTGTTGAATGTCAGAATGTGAAATATTTATATATTTCGAATACCTAAATAAGCAGGGAGCCCAGGAAGCTAACGAAGCACAATTTAACTATCACTAAATACGACATCAAAATCTGTAATGCTTAGTTGCATTTTTGAGAATCGCATAGGAAGGCTGTACTTGCATACCGCACACTTGAACGAGTAGGAGAGTGTAATAGAGTATTTATGAGCGTCTGATAGAGAGATAAAGATATAGAGGAAAGTTCGAGTTCGAGCAATAGATAGGGATCTAAAGAGAGACAGAGAGAGAGAGAGAGAGAGAGAGAGACCGAGAGAGAGAGAAAGGAAAGCGTAGAGTAAGCGAAAGAGACAAAGAGAAAGACAGAGAATGATGAGAATGTGAGTAGAGGAAACAAAAGAGAGTAGAATAAGAGAGAGAGAGAGAGAGAGAGAGAGAGAGAGAGAGAGAGAGAGAGAGACTAATAGGGAATGAGAGGCAAAAATAAAGAAAGAATATGCGTGGGATTGAGAAAGACAGCAATTAATTAATGTTCTACCCTTGTTTTGGATTAGTCCAAAGAAATTCCATTAACAAAACTTTGCAAGGATCCAACCGTTAAATTGAGATATTAATGAATATGTCGAACGTCGCTTCGATAATTATGCAAATTTCTCAAATTCAAATTTAAAGCTAAGGCTCATTTAACATTGCAAAGAAAGAGTTTTGTGTCAGTTTTCGCTGTTCAGTTGGCAGCTGGCTGAGGTCAATGGTATTCCTTGCTCCACAAAGTTTTCGCACCTTTCTCGTCAGGATAATAGCACGAAAATGCCGCAAATACTTGCGAGACAGAGAGAGAGAGAGTGCGAGAGAGAGCGGGAGAGAGAGAGAGAGAGAGCGAGAGAGAGAGAGAGGCGCACATCCTGCTGCCGATAAGCCGGCAATATCCTTGGCCATGCTGTTTAATTCTTTTGCCGTTGCTTTGGCATTTTTTGTCCGTATTTTTTTTCCACTCATAAATTGCGCAAATTCCTTTTGTGCGCATCAGGAAGAAATGGAACGGGGGCGTTTCTCCTGGTATTCCTGGGGCCGGGCACATCTAATTTCTCTGCATGTCCTGTGCACGCTTATTAAAGTATAAATCATTTGATGGCTGTTCCGCTCCCGTCCGCCCCTTACCAAATGCCCAATAGGGCACATCAAAAAGTGCAACAAAAAAGAAGCGAAAAGCAGCCAAAATAAAAGCAGAAATTGAGGTTAGGTTCGCAGCGGCGAGGTGTGTAGTGCTGTGGTATGGTGTGCTGTGGTGGGGTAAGGTGTGGTGAGCTAAGCTGAGGACCTGGCCAAAGTACATTATCGTTGTCCGGGCTGCAACAAATGTAGCAGAAAACCGCAGCTGAGAGCAGTGCAATTAAATACAGGAAATAATGGCCACCGCAGCAGCAGCACCAGCTGCCGCCTGTTTGGGGGCGTGGTCGGTGGCCAGAGGAAACGACAGAATGCAGGAAGCAGGAAGCGTACACAGCATCTTGGCCAATGCAGCATAACAATTTTGAGGCGAGCTAAGGCGAAACTAAGCTTGGCTCGGCGAAACTTCTTGGCGCTGCACTAAAAACAGTTCAGCCTGAGAATCTTATAAGCAATTCTTAAGTGTGACCAGTTAAAGATAATTGCCAAATGCTTAACTTTGGAGGCGTAAACGGCAGTTAGATTTTAAATTACATCGCAAAAGAGAGGACATGTATATGAAAACTTATAATACGGCGAGTTAGTTAAGTACGTAATTAGCACTTATTAAGTGTGACCAGCTAGCCGTAATTGCCATATGCCCAAGTTAAATGGCCTTAATTGGTGCTAGATTTTTAATTACTTGTCTCAACGCAACGAAAATAAACAATTTAAGATACTGAGAGGCAAGTCGGAAGTATTATTGAGGCTAATTTCCTTAAGCTTCAGTTTGTAAGCGTTAAATAATGAAAGATTATAAATTTCAAGGAGCTGCTTTGAGAAGGAAAAACAGTGAGTAGGCGTATTGATAAATATTAGTTATGTGCCCGTTTTAAGTAAAGGATCTTAAGATTAAAGATTAAATAAATAAGCAAAATACTGTTACACTGTTTACCGAACCCTCAATTCCTTTTGTTGTACTATAAAACTAACCTTAAATTAAACAAATCATGATATGGCTTAGTTTTAAACCCTATTGAGAAAGACCTAGTCCTAAGGCTTAAATAATTTTGGACCCATAAGTTACATTTAGCTAATCATTTTTGCCAGATGTAAGCTTTGGGTATATATAAAAAATGTAGCCCGCATTTTGTATATGAAAATATCAAAGGCTTGCAATATTTTCAGTACAGCGGGCGATTATAACAGATATTTTGATTAATAAACATTTTTAAAATAGAGGATTAATTATAACGAATAATAACAAATATAAGAATGCAAGGTTTGTATGTCAAAGTCACGATAAAATAATAAAATATGCATATACCAAAACTTAAAAATAGTTATGACTGTTTCCATTAGCTTAAAATTATCATCAACCTCAAAAGGTATTTTTTGGTGGTTTCAAATAGAATTTGAGTCTTAATCAAGTTTACATCCGATAAGAGAGCTATGACAATTGACTTGGCTCAGGAAAAATAGTTTGTCTTGGGCTTGTTTTTTGCTCTTATTTAGTTAGCTTATTTAACTTTTATTTACTGCTTAACCCAACTGTTTCTAGAAAACAGCAACAAAATATTTGATATGATCTGTAGCCCGAACTCATGTTGGGTTTGAGCTGCGGTTTTTGGCTTTGCCAGTTCAAAGCAAGAAGTGTGTGTGTGTGTGTGTGTGTGTGTGTGTATGTAGGGGATGGAGGGAATGCACAGTCTATGCAAAATGTATATTGCATAATGCAATTTTCAATTGGCAACCATGAAAATATAGTTTACAGAGCATTCGCCCAGTCCCCCCTTTTTTTCTTTTCCTCTGCATGTGTTGGCTCTTAATTGAATTCAATGTGCACTTAAGCGACATCCGTTGATAATGAAATTCTGCTGCAAAATTGTAGACGAAAGTGTTTGGCTCGGACAAAGAGCTGGAAAATATATATATATATCTATTTTTTTGTAGCCCGGCAAATGCAAAGTTTTGCGTTTGCTGCTTTCCGTGGCGCAATAAATAATGCGAAATAAGTAGATGAAATTGGCAGCGAGCAGGAGTCGAGGAAGAGAACGAGAAGGAGGAGGAAGTGAAGGAGGAGGAACAGCTGCCTGGCAACGGCAAAGGCGACTTTCGAATGAAATTAAACTGGGCCGCGAATCCTTCGTGGAATATGCCAAGGCTTGCAGCCAAGGCTGAGCGGCACGAACTTCGTGGTGTCTATGGTAAAACCATATTTTATTTGATTTCATTTGATTTGATTTTATATATTTGATTTCGCTTAATGCTTTATTTTACGCTTGCAAATAATCGATTTGTCAGTCAGTTTGAACGCTTCTCCATTTGTCCGACGTCGACTTTCAGCTGGAATGTTGGCCCAAGTATGAGCAGCTGCTCCAATATTGCGCATAGCATTTGAAAACTTCACATAGCACAGGAGTACATAAGTTTGTGCACATGTCAGTGCTTAAGCAAGAGTGTAGACAACTAATAGATACCCTATATATCAGCTAAAGTACGGTGAAGAGCATCAAAGAGATCAAAGAGTCTACTTTTTTTTCTTAATTTAGGTGAGTATAAACTACATTTTGCCCAATCAAGAGCGTAGGCAACTAAGAGATACCCTATATAAAGTATGGAGAAGACACTGTTTCGATGTTTTTTCTTAATTTTAGGTAAATATAATCTACAATTTGTAGCAACTGAGATCAGGTGGTTAGTTATGGGTTTTCTCGAGAAAAGACTTAACCGCATTGAAAGTTCTTGATAAAAAAATAAATCTAGTGCATGTGCGAATAAACGTACCAAATTTGTTGCTTATTGTTTGAGTAATTCCTGAGATCAGACAGACAGTCTTTAATAAGCGCCTTCTTTTGGATTTAAACACAGCATATATGTTTTATAGAGTCGAAGAAACACATATTCTGATTGTTACCAATTGCATATGCAAGTTTGTCAAGCACTCGCAACTCATTTGTTTAATGTGCAGGGTATTAACATTCCTCACGATTGACTTCGCTTGGAGTTTTATTGATTGATTTTCAATGGCCCGAGCGAAAAGTGAGCGCCAGAGCAACAGACAATCAGCCAAAGCTATGAGCAATGCTTTCCAGCTGCTGCCAGGACTCAACGCCTGCTGCTTTAGCTCCGGCTTCGACTACGACTGCGACTCCGGCTTCAGCTTTGGCTCCCGCTGTGATGTGCCAGCGACCGGGCACACGTTGCGTATGCTCAATATATATTGTGATGATGGCCACGTAGATGGTTGAGTTGAGCTGCCGGCTTTTTGCCGGGCAAGAAATTCAAGCAATGATGAAGTGTTTTTATTGTGTTTATTGGCATGCGTTTAAATGAAATGGAGGGGGGGGGGGGGGGGGGGGGGGGTTGGGTGGTCTGTCAACAGTCGGCATACACAACTCTATTAGGGGCCAATTTTCGTACAAGTACTAAATATAAATATGGTTATGGCAGTCGAAACTTTTTTCATTAAAACTCTTGAAACGCAAAAAGCTAAAGGACCAGCTGGGCTAAGTGAGTGCAAAATGTTATTTTATTGTCAACAAGCAAAGTTACGAAAACAGAATCAACGAGCGGCGTTGGGCTGAGTCGGTTGGGTGGGGCTGACGAAGACCCAGAAGGAACCAGAGCTGAATTGTTGTGCTGCCAAAATTTATTTAATATGCAATATAAACAGAGCAACAAGGAAAACATGACACGCTCATAAACTCATTTGAAGAACAGTAAAGCAACAGCAACTCGCAGCTCACAGCTGGTTGTTTTTTAAGGGACAGCAAGGAACTTTTAATAATACCTCAAGGATTTCACAGTACAGACACCAAGGATACCATGCAAATCTACATAAATATTGTTGTTGCTGTTGTTGTTGTTGTTGTCGTTGTTTGTGCTTTATGTCAAAGTCACAGCTAACCCACAACTGTGCCCGCAACTTTTTTCATTAATTTCAGAAAAACGAAAAAAAAAACAACAACACAAATTATCCCACCGGCTTCTGACGCATTAGCCATGGCGATTAAGCACGCCCTCAACTCTCCCTCCAAAAAAAAAAAAAAACTCTATAAAAATATTGCCACAACTTTTGCCAGCCTGCAGTCATTACCAATTTATGGCCCGCAGGACTCGGCTGTCGGGTTCCGCAAGTGTGCATAATTTTTTGGTGCCAAAATTGAATTGATTAATAAAATATGGCATCCGGTGCGAAATAGTCGGCCCCAGCATTAACCCCCAGGCGCAGCATTTTAATTTGGTTCCACAGCTTAAAAATGCTTGAAGTACGCATATTTATGCCAAAAACAAGAAACAGGAATATTGCTTAACTAAATTATGCATCAGGTATTTCACGTTTGGTATTTTTTCTTGCTCAACTTAGTTTCTGTTTACACATTTTGTTTGAAAACCATTTTTAATTAAATATCAAATTTAGACATAGGTAAAATTTCTAAATTGATGCACGCGAAGCTTACTTTGATTTATAATTTCTATGCAAAAATATACACACGTAAGTAAAATGCATACATACATACATACATACACACATACATACATGCATAAATACATACATACATACATGCATACATGCGTGCATACATACACACATACGTACCCACCTACATACATACGCGTCCTGCTTCGCCCCCTTGGTGTACCTTCGGCCTCCGGCCTGCGCCTAATTCATAGGTGAAGCCTGCCGGTACTTAAATTTTTTAGAATCGAGGAGGAGAGCAGCTTTAATAAATATGTTTTCTTATTAAAATTTGCCGCGCAATAAAACAAATTGGTCTGCTATTGGCATAGAAGTCAACTTACATGCATACATATATACATATACACATGGGTGCATATATACATACAAACATACATAATTACATAGAAACAATACGTTCATTCATGCATATATTCATATATCCATAATGCATACATACATACATACATATATGCACGCATGCATAAGTGGCCATGCATACATGCATGCATGCATACATAATTACATGTATACCTACATATATACATGCATAATCAATCTTCTCACTTAGTGTTATATAGTATTCTATATTAGTTAGACAATTTATTCTTGATATAAAATATGTCTAGAGCTTTGCTGCTAATAAGTCATATTTTCATGGAATGATTTTTGAAAGTTCTGTTGAATGAACTTTGACTAAAAATGTTTTCCTTGATTTTTTCGCATGTTTTCCGCTCTGTCGCTTGTAACCGCAGCTGCGACAGCGGATTCTTTGGAGCTGCGAGTGCATCCTGGCCAAAAAAAAAAAAAAAAAAAGAGGAAACAAAACGAAACCAAAAAGCAAAGAGCATGCATATGCATGACGCATGCTGTTAATGGCATTTGGCGAATGGGGAACTGGCCAAAAGACAAGTTGCTTAAAAAATCAACATCCACACAAAAAAAAACTAAGTGCTGGACTCTGTAGTTTGGTTGCCACAATCGCATCTGGAATGCTCTTTGCCGTGGCTTGGAGAGAGAGCTGCACGAGAAAGCCGGCGAAAATGTGGGCTAAGACCTAGCTGAATCTTGGGCTCAAAGGCCGCAGCACAATATTCGCATAACTTTCGCTTTCCGCTTAAAAGTCGCTGCTGCTGCTGCAGCTCTATCCAAATGCCAGGCATATAATCTCTGACCCAAATCCCCGGAGTCACAGCCAGCGTTGGGGTGCGACGCCTTAAAGACCTTAAGCAAACTGTGTCACCTGTTTAGAGGGGGCGGGGGGGCGCAAAATAAATATTGGCACTTGCTTCAATAAAAGCGGGTTAGGCTAAGTTCTCCTGGCCTGGCTAAAATGGGTCACAAGTCTGCCCGGGGCGCGGGCGGCTTAACATTTGACTGAAGCAAATATGAAGCTCGAAGCTAAGCCAAATAATTGCGACCGAAAAAACACGGCTTTCCCTCCCCCCGCCGAGGGAAAAGCCTTTGAAATTTTAATGGCTTTTAAGTGAGGCGGTTGGGCGTGGCACTTGCGCTTGAATTAACAAATTAATGCAAATTTCGCGCACAACAACAGCCGCATGTCTGGCCACGCCCCCGCTCTCCTACACACTTGTGCTTAGCCAACATCTAATGAATATTTATTAACATTTTTCTTGCCAGACGCAGCTGGGCTTATATTTTTTTTTTTGCTGTTAGCGGCTGCATTTCGATTTGCTCGAGCTCTAATTTAATTGCAGCGGCATAGGGACAACACGACAAGGACATCAGCGCAACATCCGCATCCGCTTCCGCTTTGGCACAACATCCGCAACAGCCGCTGACAATCGCATTAGAATGCGCACACCTTGATGGATGAGCGCACCGCCGCCGGCCGAAGTTGCTGTCGATCAACTGTTACCTGTGCGGCAGGTGGAGCCCGGCTCCGCGCGGGAGTTGCCGCTTAATGCACTCATTTAATTGCATTATGCCGCAGGTCCTTGCATTGCCCCGGACTCCGGCTCGGCTGCTGGGAGTGGCATGTGGCAGATGACAGCTCCCGGTCTGTTACCAGACAGTTGCCGCACTTAACAACAAGGACAACAACAATGTAAGTCAACATTTCATCGACTTGTCGATGCTTTAATACCCTTGTGGACATAGTTCTTGGAAATGCTTTTACGGAAAAGCTTTATTTCCGACTGTTTAGGTCCGTTTGCTACCAATCCTCTTTTTTAACAATGCTTGGCTAAGTAATTGCTCAGTTTGTTGAAGGTATTTTGAGTAAACAGAATAGTTTTTATATAATTTTCGAGCAATTTCTATTGATGCTATAATAATCCGATATAGATGACATTTGCTTTATACAACTCATAAATGCCAAGACCGCAGGATTTCTCGAAAAACAGATAAGGTCAAAGAAGAATCCTTTTAAAACTCATTTTTCTACCGGTACTTCCGATATAGATATAGAAGATAGAAAAATCTTCCCTTAATGTGAAAAGCATGATAATGCCAGATCTGGTTAAAATATCTTTAAAATATGTTCCATACGTTTTCTACTGATACTTCCTATAGAACTATGTGATGTAGATATATATAGATCTAGATCTAGTTGTAAAAAACAATATAACTCGTAGGTGTCAGGTCTGGTTGGGACATGTTCTTAGATAAGAAAAAAAGCTATATGATATAGTAGTCCGATGTTGATAAAATGTTGCTTAAATGTAGAAAACATGATTATACTCGTAAGTGACAAGATTGGCTAAGATATTAACTTATTTTTCCACCGATTGTTACGATATAAGAAATAAATGGTAATCAAATGTTGATTTGGATTAAGCTTAGATGCTAGAAGCATATTGTGGCTCATAATTAGACTATTTAGTTATTAATTTTAGAAAAGATAAGATAAGTTTTCAAACAATAGATTTTATATAGGAGTTCGATTCGACTTAGACGGATCAGAAAACCGTCTTAAGCTTTGAAGCTAATATATTAGTTCCCACAGCAACAGACGGACAATGCATAACAATGTGATATTACCCCTTGTAAGGGTATTCACATGAACACTGCATTAATTTGCATATGAAAACCAGCTGCTTGACTCCTCAGTCTGTCCCATTGACTTTAAATGAATTCAAGAAGCGGCTGCGGCTAAATGAAGAGCACGAAATGAATGGAGGCGGGCTTGACGGGCCACCCAGAATATTTATAATCACAAAGGAAAGAAAAGTATAATTGCAGTTGTTTTTTTTTTCAATTAGAGGACACTCACAAGAATCTTCCATCATATATTGCACTCAAATCCTAAAGCAAATGCAATCGGGCACATTTTGCAGCTGCTCCAGGTCCAAGGCGTGGCCGTTGCGCGGCAGCTGGACACAGCAATCGGTCGACAATGGGTCAACGGGTTGATCCTTGTCCAACGGCTGACCCTTGTCCAGCCAATCGATAAACGCATTTGCGCCAAAATTGGACATTCGGGTGCGCAGCATATGATGGGCAAGGGCGGCCTCGTCGTTATTGCGATAGAGGATAAGATAGATGTAACGCTGCGGCTGATACTCGTAGACGGAGAGCTTGATATAGTGGCCGACCAGGCGCAACTCCTGGTGCACCTGCAGCGGCGTCAGGTGGTTAACATTGTTGAGCACCAGGGTCTTCCGATTGCGCGATTCGCGCACCTGCACCTTGAGACGGGCCACGCGGAAGCGATGCTGCAGGCTGCAAATTACCCAATTAAATAAAATATATATTTATATAGATAGTTGGAATAAGCTAACATTTCCAGGGCGAGCGCCTTGTGCTGGACATCAATGTACTGCAGATAGGCGTAGCCACGGCTGCAGCCGGAGAAATCGATCTTGAAGCGGAGCATATAAACGTCGCCCAGTTCGATGGCCACCTGCATGATGTGATCCGGCGTGCTGCGCTTGTGAATGCGTGTAAGAAACAGCTGTAATGTTTGCGGCACGAATTATTACTCAAAATGTTGCATTATGTTATCAATTTTACTACACCTCGCCGGCGCCCGATTCCAGATCCGCGAGCTGCTCTGCGGCCAGGGTCTGGCATGTTGTCACATAAATGGTGCCATTTATTTGACTTTTGCGATATTTGTGCTGCAAATTAAAATCCATTTTGAACAATGCTAAAAGTGCAAAACGCGTGCGCAGAGTTTGCCTCTCGTTTTCAGTGTTGTTAAACGCAGCACAAACGGCGTTGCCAGCCCTAATGCAGCAATGTTGCCACAAGCTTTTTAGCTGGCCAAGTGCTGCCTAGCTGCATTGCAGACTGTCAGTGTTACCAGACAGTGCTGCCCAGCTTATGTGAGTGAGCAGCTTATAATGCAGTGCTGCCCATAGCACTTTTCTCTGTTGTCATGCTGCGGCGAAGACAGTGCTGCCCATCTGAATTTCAAATGCACGCATTAAGCAGGCAGAGCTGCCAGTTTAAGTTTCAAAAGCAAGTGTTGTCACATGGCTTTTGAAATTGCAGTTGTTTGCGAATAAGACTTAATAAAGACTTGCCAAATAGCTGTCGCGATTTCTTCTTTGTTTTGAATTTGTGAGCACATGTCAAGCCAGGTTTTGCCTTGTTTTTGGACAGGTTGTGCGTGCTTTTTTCTAGCTCATGCTTAACAATATAAATTAATGCAGGCCACACACAACTTTGAAGCTGACAGCAGCCACAGACCGCAGCACCTACAATTGCTAGCTCTTGGTTGTCGTGTTGTTGTTGTTGCGGTTAGGCCACCCACTGGCAGGCTCCAGTCTGAGACCCAACCTGCTGCTGCACTCAAGTGGCTGCCGTTGCTGCTGTTATTGCGGCTGCTTCATTTTCCTAATTTATACGCGCGCAACGCTAATGAAAATTTGCGTGGCAAGGCAAACCACATGCTTTGTTGCTGTGAGCCCATCCTTCTGCTCTGCCCTGCCCTGCTGCTGTTGCTCTTGTGCTTATTGTAAATGACATGGCGTTGGTTCTGGCACTTCAAGGTGCATGGCACTCGTAGCTCCACTTGAGCTCCTGCCACGTTTGCCTGCGGTTGGGAAAGTTATGCGTAGTACGCTTGGAGACAGCCATCATAATCCTGTCAGGGCCTACTACGGCGTCCTTGATAGGTTGTTTAAGGCACAGCAGTTGGTGACCCAAGGCTGACTACAAATAGAGCTTGTTCGAGATTCCAATACAAATAAATATATATTTTTTAGTTCATTTCATAACCTGACCAAAATGAAGGAGCCCAACGAAAAGTGGCTGGATCGCCATTTCAAGCAACAGCATGTGGAATATAGGAAGGTCTTCAAGGAGGCGGCCTGCGCCTCGGATCAGCACATCATAGCTTATTGGCTGAAGATCTTTGGGACGGCGTCCAAGCAACAGAAATGGGCCAGAAATGGCCTGATGCTGCTCATGTACGGCCATTTGAAGGAGATCGGGCATCTGCAGGTGCCATTCACCGATATGCGCAACCTGGGCAAGGACCTAAACGAGGTGCTGGACAGCTATACGGGTCTGCCCGTTAAGGGCCAAGACAAGTCCACGCAAATCCAGTCGCCGCTGTGCAAGAAGCACGAGAGTGAGGAGATATCCCATAAAGAAGGGATCAAGGATTGCGCCTGGCTTCAGTTAGAGCAAGGTTTGACAACGACTGTACGCCAGCCGAGCCTCAGGCATGTACCAAAATTGTCCTGCAGAGGTTTCAGGAGCACAACATCTAAATGCAAGGATAACTTCTGTGACATTTCTCTGCCAGCCGAAAGATTGCAGATCCTTTATGACACATTCGATTCTCATGAGTGCTACAAAGACGAGGTGGTTGGTCCAAAAACTCAAGATCGTATACTGAATAAGGTCGAGAGTGAAATAATGCAGGAACTGAACGCAATTCTTGAACCCGTAAATGACCTGAAATCCTTGCCAGAATCAAGGATGAGCGCTACAGCTTCAGAGATGGATGAGCCCTGCTGTAAATCCCACTCCAATAAAATGGAGCACAAGGGATTAAAGGCTGCTTCGCTTACAGAAGAATATCCCAGCTATTGTGTTTCCTATGCGAGTGAATTTCTGGAGGAAAACACGAGCTTAATTTCCGAACACGAAGATAATAAGGATAAGCAGACTGTGCTGGGCACTTCTCTGCGCTCGGCTAGTGTTGCGGACAAAGGTTGCCAGGAGTCGCCCAGGGAGTTGGCCAGGCGTGAGGCCCTGGATGCAGAGCTGATGTACTTGCAGCGCCGCAATCGACAGCTGCGACGCGAATGTCTCATATATTACAAGAAAAATGGGGATTTGCGAAGGCATCCCAAATATCCCAAGGTGAGGGTGAATAGTTTGGGGTTTCTAGTGGGCGCCTATCGGGCCCATTGTCATTTCACACGCTGGCCGAAAAGTCGCAACTACTTTCAGCAGGAGTTCGATCGTGTGAACGGTTGGCGGACTTATAGACGCATCCTGCTGGACAGCTCTAGGCCGAGCAGGCGCTCAGAGAACCTGCAGCTCAAGAGGACCTCTACGCTAAGATAAGGTATCTATCAGCGACCCAATACTTTGAATTGTAAATAAGCATATTAATTTATAATTAAATAAAAGCCGAAGTCTTTAGCTGCAACTGATTTAAGAAATTAATTCCAGCTGCGCGTAATTTAATTTAATTTGCAAGCTTTTATTAAATTGCAGCCGGGTGAAAGCAACAATAGCCTTGGGGAGTTGTGGCATGTTTGAGGGGAAGCAAAATAAAAATAAACAATCTACTCGTAAACAGCAGCTAATATTTTTTAATTATGCAACACTGAACAATGCAGAGCGAGAAACAAAAATGGCTGCCAGCTGCGCGAGACGCGCCGCCGCCATTTTGTAAGCAGCTGAAATTAGTAGCAAAGGGCATAAAAGAAGCAGCAGCAGCTAGCAAAGCGGAAATAAAATGAACTGTCGCCAAAAGCCGTCGCAAGTTCTTGTTGTTTGCAATTGTCGTGCGGTTAGCGTGGGTGTGGGCGTGGTCAAGCTGCAATTGCAGCTGGTCAATGAACTTGCCACAAAGTTGAAGTAGCTGCCGCAAAACTGCGCAAATATGCTGGCATAGCTACAGTGCAACAGCCCCAAAGTGTACAGAAAACAGAAAGCAATATTTACAGAGAAGAAATATTCAATGAAATCAAAAGTAAACTACAAATGATTTCCAAAAGAGGATGAAGTTTTTGTATTTAAAAAAATGCTTAAGTGTTGGAAAGTTTCCATAATGACCGAGGTCTGTTGAAAGCGTTGTCAATTTTTATTTTATTTACCTCAAGTTACGTACACATTTTTAAGCCATCTTGAAAAATATATAAGCCAGCCAGAGGTAACAGTTGTTTAAAGCAATACTCAAAAAATATGAATGTTTTTATGCAAAATACCAACTAGTGTTGCATAGCTGCAATATATGCGACACTTGCTGGAGATCTAATGAAGAGACTACTCTATACATATACACTGATTGAAAACATTCATTTTTCAACTTATTCACCTTAACGAGTGAAAATACCAACCAGTGTTGGGTAGCTATTCAATAAACGACAGTGGCTAGAGCTCTGTTAAAGACTATTCCCTATACACATATATTCCTTTGAATAATTTTCAGTTTCTTAACTAGTTCATTGTAACGAGTGTGCACTGTCTGTGCCTATACATATATTGCAAATGGCTTCATCAGCTTTTGACTATGCAAATTTATGGTCTATATTTAGGCATTTTGCACACAACGTTCCCAGTTCCGTCTGCGGCTGCATAAATTAATTATTTATGGCTTGTGAAACATGTTGCTTAACTTTATCTCCTCCCCTCTCGTTAGAACTATTCTCTCGTCCTCACTCTCTGCATAGTTAAAGCTGACAACAACATCATCATCAACGTTTGTTTGTTCAGTTGCAAATTTTGTGGCCCAGAGAGCTGTGTTGATTGGGAGACAACGCCTTTAGGCGTCACCCTCAGGGCTTATCTAATAGAATTGATCGCAAAATATGGTCTTGCTTTTTTCTTCCCTTTATTCTGCATTCATTCTTTTTATTTACTCGATTTTGGGCTCATTTGCATGCGCGGCACGCACACATAATTATAATTTTTACAACGTCTAAATAAACGCAAATATCTTATGCACAAAGGCAACCGAGACGCAGCTCAACAGGCGTATGGGCTCCGGTAGGGATAGAGAGCGGGCCCAGGGGCGAGACTTTGTGGATGTGCTCAGCGGTCTGTTTGTAATAAATGGCAATCCAAAGATGGTAGCCGATATAAAGCGATACGTTTGCAAATTCTAGAAAAGGGGGCATTTATTGTGGGGTAATACGAATTTGCTGATCAGTTCAGCAGTTGCTATTAATGAGCAGCAGTGTTGGAAAACTATGTATGCGTGTTAAAGTAAAAAGTAGATAACTGTACCATAACAGAGAGAACAATGGAAGGCAGAAGAAATCTATAACCAAATTAGGAACTTACCCATACTTTATAACAATTGTTAAAATTAGTGTTGTCAAGCGAAATGTGGTTATTTAGGAGAGACTGCAGGAGGTTAAATAGAAACAAACTTGGTAGAAGAAAATATTTGCTTGATAAATGTGCAACTAACTTAAACAAAGAGCGTATTTTTTATAGAACCCTTAAACAGTGCTAGAAAATGAAGCCTGATTGTTAAGGAAATACTGAATGACATGATTGTTAAAGAGAGACTCAAGGAAGTTGAATAGAAACCATTCGAAAGAATGTTGAAAGAGACCGAAAGGTAGTTAAAAGAAATACGAAGAAGAATAATTAATTGAAAGTAACTAAAAGAAATAGCAACCTGTTTTGACAAGTCAAGCTAAGTAAATGCCCAAAACAGTGCTGGTAAATGGCGGAATATAATTGTAATTGCTGGCTTAATTAAAGTGTTTCTTTTGGTGATTTTAGAGCTTGATTAAGAAAACAATTGCATTAATTGTTAGCAAATGCCACTTCAAGTCTCCAAATGCTTTTGGCTGGCACTTTTCTAGGGTATTCACATATTAACATATGAGAATACATTTTTTGTCGTACCTCTTGCTGCTGATTCTTTTATTTAACAATATCAAATAGAATTACAATATAATTTATGCGCTTTTATTGCGCTCAGCAGAACACAGCGACATATTAATGTGTCTCTCACGCTCTCTCAACTGACGTCAGCCGGACGACTGGGCAGCCGGGCAACTGGTCAGCCGGACGACTGGGCAACTGGACAACTGGAGAAGGCTATAAATATGATTGACATGCCCGACGTTTCAGTCAATCAAATTTTGGATATCAGACGCGCAACACTTGGCCGGACCAACAAAAAAAACAAAATATGCTGCTCAAAGTGAGTGTTGGGCAGCTGTTGCTAATCAAAACTGTGCGCGAGTGTGTGCTTGTGCCTGTGTGTGTGTGTGTGTGTGCCTGGGTGTGTGTATCTTTTACTCATCATTTTGCTATCAATTTGGCAGCTCACACTGGCGCTCTGTCTGGCCCTGCTCAACACTGGCTGCTCGGCGAAGCCCCATTTGCTGGCTGCCACGCCAGTTGGATATGCAACGCCGCCCGGCGGCACCTGGCTTGCTGCGACGGCAGCGGCAGCGGCGGTGCCTGTTGCCGGCTATTATCCGGCGTACGCCTCGTATACGTATACGCCGGTCTATTATGGCTCATACGCCGCGTATCCCGCCTATTATCCCGCATACCTGAGGCGCTGATTGCCTGTTGCTCTTTCATATACTTCAATATATATGCAACTATATTTATATGTATATGTCCATGGGTGTATGAAATTGATTAAATTTAAACGCGCTTTGTGTGTGTGTGGTGTGTGGTGTGCGTGTGTGTGTGTGTGCAAGTAAATCTCATATTTTACGCTGTTTTTACGTTGATTCGATTTAGCGGCTGCTGTAAATAAAATTTTAAAAAAACACACTCATATTTATGAAATCAAAATGCTAACACACACACACATGCACACACAAAGACACACATACACAAAGACACACACATACACACACACATAAACATAGAATACTAAACAAATCAATAAAAAAAAGGCAGCCTTATATACACGTGTTTCTTTGTAGCTAAAGCCGTGCTCGTAAAAGTATCTGCGCCTGCAAATGTATTTGTATCTGTAAGTGTAGATGTATCTGTATCTGTAGATGTATCTGTAGCTGTGCCTGGCAGCCGCAGCTGCGAGCATTGGCTGTGGGATTTTCATTTGGTCCTTTGAAATTTGCTTACATGTGCGCATATTTTCACCTGCACGTCTTCCTTTTGCCATGACAGTGAGTGAGGGCGGGGGGCAGAGAGGGGCGTATCCAGGTGCCTCACAAGATGTCTTCCGATTTGCTGTCTGTGTAACTTGGTAACCCGCTACTGATTTACCTTACGTGTATAAATCTTTTATTCATGTAATCCATTTGAAAACACGTTTGCACATGATTGTGTTTATTTCGAAACGGAATCTTTTCCAGCAGCTCGTCTGTGTGTGTGTGTGTGCGAGTGTGTGCGAGTGTGTGTGCGTGTCTGCCTGCCTTGATTTGAAAAATCGTCAAAATTATCTAAAGTGAATACAAATTTTATTTACTCAATTTTTATTGCTTGCCAGCTTGGCCCAAAGCAAACATTTGCCCATATTTCTCATTAAGCTTTTTCCAAATAGTTTTTCCGTTTTTATTTGGTTTTTAGTTTTGCATTTTCTCCATTTTCTCCATTTTTTTTTTGCAAATAAATTTATTTTAATTGGACCAAACTTACAAGCTGAAATTGTGCGCCATAAATAACAAGTTTTATGTTGCGCAAAATAACAAAATGGTAAATCAAAAATTTTATAAACTCTCGTTAAAGCAAATAAACACAATTTACTTGCGAAATATTCGCAACGAAATGTTGTAAAATAATTAAATTTAATTGCAATTTTTTTTTTTTTGATGAACAAATATTCAATAGTTAAAACATATTGAAATTGCTTGAGCACAAACAGAAAAATGCAATTCACATAACTTTCTGGGTTTAAAAGTGAAAAAATGCTTAAAATAGTTTTGTAAAAAAAATCAAATATATTTTCTAGAATTTATTGCGAAAATATATATCTGGCAGCAAATATGGCAAATGGTAAACTCTTGCAAAGAGAAACTCATAAAAAATTGTATTTATTATTTATTTTATAGATTTTTGTATTCATATTGTAAATTTAATAGGTTTTGCTAGAAAAGAGCTAAATATTGCAGAATTTTTGGCAAATGCTTCGCTCAAGCGAGAAGTTGGATAAGTATCTGAGAGGCTACCCTGCATGTTGCCTCTAAATTACAGGGTATACGCATTAGCGCGTGCTCGAGCGCATTTAAATGCAGCTAGCTGCAAAGTTTACAGCTTCACGCAGTTTTTTTTATTGAATAAAGGGTCATTAAATTTGGACGCTATCTGTTGCCGAGAAGTTGTGAAAATTCTGCAGTCACTCCACTGAATTCCCCCCAGCTACCCGATACCCGCCCCGCCTGCTCCAACCCCTTCGTGGAGCTGTTCCGCCACGCACTTGGGTTTTTACAAGACTTTTCCGCTTACGTTGCACAAAACTTTACAACTACTTGGCATTTAATACCTGTGCAGCTGCAGCTGGAGCAGGAGGCAGATGCCAAAGTTATGATAAGCAGGAGCCGGCATCGCTGTCGCCTTCATCATACTCCAGCTGTGTTGCCCGGGGCGCTCTCAGGCTTTCAGCGCGTCATCAAGGGAGAGGGAGGGAGGGAGGGAGGTAGGATGGTGGGCAGACGCATAAAGTCAAGCAGAAAACTTGGGGCAGGAAGCGCTGAAAGGCAGCATATTTCATATAAAAGAAATCCTTTTTAACTAGAAAGTTTAATCCAAGCAAGAAAAACTTGCACCAGGTGAAGCTGCCCCGCAGATCCTTGAATTTCGATAAGGCCTTACAACAACGAACTAGAAAAAATTTGCCAGAGTTCAGAGTGAACGACTAGGAAGCACCCAATAGTTACTAAACCGTCTGACAGCAAGTGAGTTTGAACCAGCGACAGTTGTTTCTTTTTGGGCTAATAGCCTTTCAGATACCAAAGTTGGTTTGAGCCAGCGACTAGCCCAGAGATCTTTGAACACACCTGGGGAAGAGTATCTGACTAACTTATACAATTGAACCTTAGGTCAAAAAGATAATATACCTTAAATAAGAAATTGGGTTAGAACCAGCGACAATTTCTATTTAAACTGTTACCTGGCATATGCCAGACTTGGCTTGGATGAAACGAAATTGTAGAGTCTTTCTCTAAATGAAGTCGAAGATTTGCCGACTTCTATGTGTTACCTATACCCTGCCAGTTCCCAAATACAGGGTATACAGAAATGCTGCAGCCCTTTAAACTGCCCAGCCCCCCTCGAATCCTCAACCCTTTACAAAACTGTTGCCAGGCAAAGCCCATTGAGGCGGGAGCCGAGGCCCAGCCGGGCATTAACTTAAAGCTGCAGCCCAGCTCGGAGTCCATTTTGATTAACTAATTTAGTGCAGTTGGCTTTTGCGGAAGGATCTTTATTTACACTAGAGAGAGGATGTCAAGAATTGGTCACATTTTGGCGCTTCACTTCTTCAGCAGCACGGGCGCAGCGACGGGCGCGCTGTAGGCCAGAGGAGCTGCAGCAGCATAGCGGGCGATGGGCGCGGTGTAGGCGGCAGCAAAGGGTGAGGTGTAGGCAGCAGCAATGGGAGCGGAGTAGGCGGCTGCGATGGGAGCGGAGTAGGCGGCGGCAATAGGTGAGGTGTAGGCGGCAGCAACTGGAGCAGTATAGGCGGCGGCGGCGATGGGTGCAGTGTAGGCAGCTGGGAAGGCGGCGCTATGGGCCACCTGGTGGGCGGTGTAGCTGGAGGCATAGGGTGCCACGTAGGCGGCGCTGCCGACGACAGCTGGTGCGGTGTAGGCCAAAGGAGCCACTATGCCGGGCTTGGCAGCAGCCACAGCCACAACAGCGAACAAGCAGACGGCGAACTGCAATAGAAGCTGGATTAGGAACTGGAGCAGGAGCAGAAGCTGCAGCTGGAACTGGAGCTGGGAGCTGGTAGCTGAAGCAGGAGCTGGAGCTGGTAGCTACTTACGAATTTCATGGTTGGTTTTTAGGTTGTTTTTTTTTGGCTGTTTTGGCTTGTTGACACTTGAAGCTGTGAGCTTTGTTTGATATGGTTTTTGGCCAGCTGCTGGCTTTTTATAGTCGCCCCCAAGAGACGTGACGCATTCGCGGGCCCGGCCTCGAGCGAAGGTTGCGCTTACAAATGCAGCGGGCATAGCTGATGGCGCGACGTTGACACCGACTTGGCTCGACTTGGCTGTTTAGTGGGCCACCTTTTTTTTTTTTTTTAGTTTTGTAAATCGCATTTGGCACGTGCGGCGGCCTTTTGGTAATTTGATTGGGTTTGCGCAAAAAAAAAAAAATAAAGGCAATTGTAATGCGGCTTCCTCCACACAAAAGCCATAAACCAATTATAAAATACAAAACTTTGAAATGTTTAACACGAACATCCCCCTGGCAAATGAGCGCTGGGCCGGGAGGAAGCACACAAAGGAACTGTGCCAGGGCTGAAAAGCCATATGGGACACGCACGGACATTGAGTGGAAATATTCTCGAGGTTTTCCAAACTTCCAAACCAAACGATGCTTAAGATCGATAAATATCGATTTTGGATAGTTCAGGACATTTTGGAAGAAGTTCTTGCCAAATTAAAAGTGTCTAGCTCTTGGGGTCTCTGGGATAGACGTGTTTGCTTAGGGGGATAAAATAGGGTTTTTCTATTCAAAATCGATATTTATCGAAGTCAAGCATCGCTTTGTATTTAGCTCGCGACTTCGATTAATCGATTTTAAATAAATATATGGGTATTATCTCAAGTTTATCCTAAAAACAAATTGGAAGAGTTTATCTTTAAGTGTTTCGGAAAGCAACTTATTTACATCGAGGACTAAAATATGGCGCTCGTCCTAAGGCATTATGCATTTATGTATGGAGCTGCTTCCTCTTGCCTGCTCCATCGATTTCTTACAGAATAATAACAATTTCTATAGCGAAAAAAAAAATCGCGATAAAGCAAGCCAATTAAAAAGTTGTAAGCCAAATTGATTACAGAAAAGTTCTCCTAGCGGGTGTTGAGCTCCAGCCCTGAGTTCAGGACCTGCCCACACAGTGTTGGGCAATTGTTCAATTCGTCGCAAAGTTGTTGTTGTTGTTGCTGGCACTTTATCATGAATAATTTGTTGAAACCACTTAAAGGCAGCAGCCGCCGTCAAATGTCGCACGCATTTCTAGACAAATTCAAAACAAAATTCACAATAGACTCCGCTGTCGATGTGTGCGCTCGCGCGCGCGTGTGTGTGTGTGTGTGTGTGTGTGTGTGTGTGTGTGTGTGTGTGCGTGTCACTCACGTTTTACGGCACTTGAGCGACGACGCATTAACGCGCGCGCACAGCTGCTGCTGCTGCTGCCACGCCCAGCTTCTAGACGCCTTTATTATGGGCAATAAAGCGAAGTTCGCAGCGCAGCAAAAAGTGGCGCATATTTTACGCAGCTCCAAGGGGGGCGGCGTTCGATATGGGCAGGGTAAGAGAAGGCGGGGAGGGGAGTTCTTGTTTGAGCGCTTTGTGCGGCGCTTTTTTTGCCTTTGCTCCTTTTTTGTGCACATTTCTTTTTTAATTACTCGCTGCCACTTAGCCATGCAACACTTGCCACAGGAGCTGTGGGGCAGCTGCAGCTGCAGCTGCTTTGATATGTTGCCAGCGCCTGGGTCACTTGAGAATTGCGCGCCGCACTCGAAATGCGTCACGTTTATTAATTTTTTTTGTCATTTTTGTGTTTAAGTCAGCTGCATCAAAGCTTTTAGGCGGATTAAGCAATATGCGGCATTATTTGCTTGCAACGTCAAACTTGACAATGAAAGCTTTGCCAGATTCTGGCGCATGTGGGTGAGTGTGCCTGTGTGTGTGCGTGTGTGTTGGGTTATTTGTAAACACCTTGAAGCAGCGCACACACACACACACATACACACTCGATACGTCTAATTAGTGCGATTTAAGCGCTGCACTTGCCCAAAACCCTTTACTCTTCTGCGCATTTTTTGCAATTTATGACATTTGTTAATTAATTTTCCACTGAATTGTGGTTGGGGGCGAGCTGTTTATCAATATAAGCTCTTAAGTACTTGCATGGCATGATAGGGTAGCCTGCCTGTCCGTAAAGCTATTGCAGGGTTGTTGTCAGAGCAGGCGGTTGCTGGGTAGGGCAGGGGTGGTTATTAAGTGTATACACATTATGAGCATATGGCGCACAAGCAGTTAATCAAGCTGAGCGCAAAATTCAATGAAAATAGCGAATACGAAATAATTGAAAACACATTAAATAGTTGGAAATGCAATGCAGGCATATGGAATTTACCGGCTTTAATTAAATCAAATTGAACAACTTTGATTTAATATAAACGCAAGTGTTTAAGCTTTTCTTTTCACAACTTAATTAAAATGCACTAAAATACCAGAAATACCATAAAGAAAGAGTTAAGTATTTCGCGCATTAGACCCATTTTTAGCACAGTCTGGCAACACTAACATGCCTTTATATTCGCTGACTCATTTATAACCTAAATAATTACGTTCAGTTATCAATTAATATAGTCAATTAAAATGCAATTCGTATTTGTGATATCGTTAATCATAACGCTTGTTTGTGCTACCGTTTTTTTTTTTTTTTTTTTTTAGCGCGTTAATACCCACAGACAAGCTATTTAGTTGCAGCCCAAGGTCATGGACAAATCAAAAGTAACGGACGCCAAGCACGCAGCGCGCCAAGACCCATTAAGATAGAGAGCGTCAAAATTTCTGGCCAAGAATTGCGCATGCGCAACATGGACAGCATTGTCTTTGTCCATCGCCAGTCGTTGACTTGGCCAGCCGCGGCGCGTGCTCCGCATAGCTAAATAGCTGCCCAACAACGGCCCCAAAATTGAAAAGCGTAAGTGTTGGCCGTCTGAGGTTTGGCTATAAAAGCACCGCGTCGTCTTCCAATTGACATCACAAATCAACTGGTCATTCACTAGCTGACAACAAATCCAAAACAACCAAAAAACCAAACATGAATTTCGTAAGTAGCTACCAGCTTCCAGCTGCAGCTTTAGCTTCTGCTCCTGCTCCTGGTCCAGTTCCTAATCCAGCTTCTATTGCAGTTCGCCGTCTGCTTGTTCGCTGTTGTGGCTGTGGCTGCTGCCAAGCCCGGCATTGTGGCTCCTTTGGCCTACACCGCACCAGCTGTCGTCGGCAGCGCCGCCTACGTGGCACCCTATGCCTCCAGCTACACCGCCCACCAGGTGGCCCATAGCGCCGCCTTCCCAGCTGCCTACACTGCACCCATCGCCGCCGCCGCCTATACTGCTCCAGTTGCTGCCGCCTATACCGCTCCAGTTGCCGCCGCCTACACCTCACCCTTTGCCGCCGCCTACACCGCGCCCATCGCCCGCTATGCCGCTGCAGCTCCTCTGGCCTACAGCGCTCCATTTGCTGCTCCTTATGTGGCTCGTCCCTATGCCGCCGCTCCCCTGCTGCTGAAGAAGTAGACTGTGTGCATAAATCATGGAAATAGTGCGACATGTTTTTAGACCATGGGCATATATTTCGCATACCTGCACCTCCAATCCATCCTCCCCCCTCTTGTGATTTTGTTTACGACATAAAATAAAAGTTTAAGTTTCATTGAAATAATTTTGGGTTTTTTTCTTCATCATTTTGGCCTCGTTTGGCATGCAGAGCGCTTGGCTGCGCAAATATTTCAGCTGCTTCATTAGCTTCTTTAATGAGCTGATCAACTGGGCACTATTATAGCCTCAAGTCCGGAGTCATTCGCTGAGCTGCATATTAATAGACGATTGTCTGCCGGCCCAGTTGATATATCTGCCCAAATGTCTGGCTATAAACTATAAGTCCAATATAAAAAAGCCTTCAACTATATCATTTAGTTATATCCTGGTTCCATGGAAGATTCCCTTCAAAACAACCTATCCAGTGTTGTATAATGCTTATGTATTATTTAAATAAATAATTATGCTGCCATATAATAATCTAATGCTGGTCCAACCTCAATATTTTCATATTTTTTTATTTTTTTATATAAGGTATATAAAAATAAATTATATAACAAGAAATTTATCTGCTTGCCATAATTGCAGCAGAGACCGTTAGTCCATCAAATGTGTGGCAACTCCATATTTCAGCCCACACACAGATATCCAATTACAAGCTACAAATCCTGCATCCAACGGAGACGAACAACCTTGAAGAGGTAGTAAATTAAAATTGACACCTGCTGTTGCTGCTGCTGCTGTCGTTTTCTGTCGTTAATGAGGCCTGAAACCGAAATACGTCAGCAGCTGCGTAATCCAAATGCGAATGATGATTCAATGGTAGCTCGAGCCACAACTCAAGTTCGGCCAGCCCGTAACTAGATGGTTATTCAATTTGAGTAGTCCGGAAAACTGATAAGCATGGGTCAGGCCAGTGCCAGGTCCTGGGTCAGGGCGGGGTCATTGGCAGTTGGGCAAAAGTTTGGGCAATTATCGTTTCGACTGAACTTCAGCTTCAACTTGAACGGGTCGACAAAAGTTTCTGACTTTATTGTTGACTTTGTTAAATGTGGCTAAATGGGCGTAAATGACCAGCAACAGGCTGGCACATGTGTGAGTGCGCATCTATGCATGTATGTGTATGTGTGTGTGTCTGTTAAAGGGCTCAAAAGTTAAAGCGACCTTCTCTGTTGCGATCCCATGCACAGGCCGCTCGCTTTACCTTTATTTTTTTTTTTTTTTGGTGTGGGTCTGGCAACTCTCCGCTTTCATTATAAAAACTGACAGCGCGTAAGAAACTTCTTGCGGTTACTTTGAAGCAGGTAGCAAAAAGACGCATTGAGATGTGAACATAAGTAGAGAAGCTTTGCCACACAAACAAACAGACAGCAACAACAGCAACAACAACAACAGCAACAACAACAACGTGTACCTCATTATGGCAAAAAGGACGTACGTTGTATTCCTCATCCGCATCCGTTGGAATTATGCGGCATTGTCTAAAAATGAGTTTTCGTTGCTTGTTGCTATTTTTACGTTTCATCGAACAAAAGCAAAGTACCTTGCAATGGCAGCAGCAGCAGCAACAACAACAACAACAACGAGAGCAGCAGCAGCAGCAGCAGCAGCAACAACAATGGAGCTAAAAGCTGGCAAACATAAAGCATTAAGCTCACGAAAAGCGAAAAAGCGAAGAAGCAGAAGAAGCAGCGGAGTAACAAGTCGAAAAAGACAAGCCACAAGCACTCAGAGCCATGACAGTGGCGGGGGTGGGGGTGTGGTGGGGACAGCTTAACGAATCAGCGCACACCCAAAAACCCCAACCCCAACGCCTCGAATGCAACGGTCCTGCAGAGCATAATACATTGTGTGAATGTATATGTGCAATACATGTGCAATGCGTAGGTGTGTGCGCACTGGTGCAGGCGACAAATGTGACGAATGCGTTTTTAAAGAAAGCTTAATACGCAATTTGATCTATAAAACATATGGTTTAAAAGGATATAAGATAATGCGTAATTTATATATAAACGATATTGTTTGACAAGCGATAAAATTTGTTGTTGTTTTTAAATAAACACAGAATTTTTCAGATTATTAAATTTAGATCTGCGCTCGCTTCTTCTGTGACTGATTGATTTGGTTTAAGGTGCTTTAAATCGGAAATGTAGAGTGCGTTATCGAATTCGTTTAGCTTAAAATGTAAAAAACTTTCATTTTTATTATAATATTAATAGATTTAAGAATATTATTATATTTCACTCTCTTTGCAGCTGACACACAATTCGAATTGCAACACTTCCGTTTTTTTGTCGCCTGACCCCCATAATACCCATAAAGTAATGCAACTGTAGGGCGTCGTGTGTGCGTGTGCATAGCATGATGTTACATGGTCTTGGGCTGCTGTACACCTGCCGCGCCACTTTCCCACACCCCCCCCTGCTGTCGCATTAAGTGAAGCACGCGGCATGTTGGCTCAAAATGAAGTGCTGACAACGCGATGTTGGCGCTGTCGTCGGCTGCCGCTGCCGCTGCTGCTCCCGTTGTTGCTGGCACATCAGATGGCGCGAATGGCGCAAGTATTGCCCCTGCCCGTTAGCTGCTAAGCGTCTTACGGTAAAACCGCACACACACACAAACACACACACACTAAACGAAGACAAAGGAATTGGTGCGGTTGCCACTCCACTGGCTACGGGTGGATCTGGAACGGGAGCGGAAACTAGAATGGGAACGGGAACTGGATCTGGTACTCAAAACTCCTTCTTCTGCTCATTCCCCTTCGCCTCCTCCTTCTCCTACTCCTTCGGGCTGTTTAATTTACGCGCTGCTATTATTTTAATCTTTTGCGCAACAACAGCGTGAAATGACTTTCACCTGGCCTCTTGCTTTGGGTTTGTGGTGGGCGTCTCAGCTGCTGTCTTGGGTTTGACAAGGGAGGGGGAAGGGGGAGGGCGCAGACGTCTCAGCTCGCGTCGACTTCATCTTTGTTTGGCTCAAAAGCATTTAGCACAAGGTGAGCTCGGCTGACAGTTGGCAGGAGGCGGCTTTTTTGGTGGCCTCAAGGCCTGCTACCTCCTGCTCCCACATGTGCTCATCGCGTCCGCACGTTTATGCGACTTCCTTTTATTGTTTTATGTGGCTGTCTGTCCCGTTAGCCAAGCACAGCTGCCGCTGCTGCTGCTGTTGCTGATCTGCTATTCAGGTGCGAAATAAACGAGCTCTTCTTCGTATCGTACATCATCGCGTGCAAATCTCCCGCAATCATGCGCCAAAAACAAAAACCCAGCCACACTGGAGCAGTAGGTGGGCCATGCCTCAAATCAAGTGCTGTGCGGCTCAAGACATGCTGCTCCTGGCTGCTGACACCTGTCTCGCTCATCCTCGTCCTCCTTCTCCTCATCCGTGTTTTTAGTGCTTGCCACTCGAAGCGTTTAAGCTGATGCGAAGCTTCGCTGTTACAGCTAGTTCTTTTTTTTTTTTTTTTTGCTTTTTGCACTATGTAACATTACAATATTTTAAAAGATTTACTGACCCATGTTGTGCAGCTGCAGCTATCGCTGCAAAGTGCAAAGCGCTGTAAAATATTACGTATACGCAACCAGGCACCTGGAAAAAGTCGGGATTTGTAACGCCAAGTTAAACATTTGTTTGGATTCAACAACAGTTGCGTTCGGACAGTTAAATATGCGTGCTCAAATATTTAGACAATAATTCAAAACAAGATGAGAGCATTTCATAGCTGTGCCATGCCACAGCTTGAATATTGCTGCCAAGAATGTTGAAGAAAATAAAATATGTTTGAGTGGAGCGAAATGAATTGCATTTCTATAAAATATTAATTAATTGGCCTAGTGCCAGTTTAATTAATATCCAAATATGTATGCCTTACATACATTTTTGAGAATCGCAAAGAAGGGCGCAAGTTGCATATAAAAAGTCTGGGAACATTTGTCATTTGCATCAGTGTTAGCACTTCACAAAAAAATCACTTAAATTACAAGTTAATGAATTTTTGAGAATCGCAGAGAAAGGCGCCAGTTGTATTTAAAATAAATTTAATTTTCATTACACTTTTAGTTATCAAACGCTGTTAAACATATGAAAAAGTAATCTCTAAATTTTTATGGAAATAGCCAGGTCCATACTTAAATTCCTGAGAATCACAGAGGAGGGCTCCCGTTGCTTTAAAATAGTTTTATTTGTTTGTTTGTCTTCTTTAAAATCTTCATGCAGCTTTATTTTAGGCTTGGTCCGCAAGTTAATCATCAATCAAACATTTGTCAGGCAGTCAGTCAGTCAGTCAATCAGCCAGGACAAACAGTTTGATCTATCTATATATAAGCGAGGCTAAACAAATATCTCGTGTCTAGTTTCTATATATATTCTGTGCGCTAATCAACTGCAAATATTATGCTCATCCGTAGTTGACTTAAAATTCATGCGATTTGCGCTCAACTTGAGCAAACCAACCGAAAAATCTTTCAAGCTAAGATGAGCAGGGAGTGCTAGGAGGGAAAGAGATGGTGGAGAGCGGGGACGAGGGGGGAGTGACGGGTACTCAAGAGCTAAAATAAATAGAATTTTTAAGTAAATTGAAGCGGGAAAGTTATTTGCGACCAGTTGGATGGCAATCTACACTTTTGTACTAACTTGGCCAACATAATTCACACGCAAGCCAAGACCGGCAGGTTGCAGGGGTAGGGCTGGTGCTTAGGGGGGGGGGGGGGTGGGGCAGCAACTTGTGGCAAAGCCAGACAGTTGCTTTGGGTGGCACTTTTTACAGCGGCCGCCAGCAACAAATGGTGCACATTACAAGGGCCCAAAGCTACTTACCAAGGCAGCCAAGGCAGCCTGGCGTGGCAAGGACTCACATATTTTATTATCAGCCGCAACGGTTGTGGCAGCAGTTGGAGCTGGGGTGGCAGGAACTGGTGGCACACGCTGTCTGTCTGTGCAACAAGGCGCAAAACTTAAGCGGCGAAGACAAATTTTTATTGCCACAAGCCCAAGTCGATTTCGATTATTGACTGCAAGCAAACTGTTGCACACACACACATAGGGTAAAGCTTGGCAATTGTGGCAGCTCCTTGAGGCAGCTCCTTGTGGCACGCAGCCAGGCGAACTTCTTCTTCTTCTTCTTTAGCTTGTCTGTGTCTTTGGCTGTCGCGTTCGCTCATTTGGGTCACATTTTATTATTTTCGTGCATTTATCGTATGCTCGCTGCCATTTTATTTTATTAGCCTGACATTTCAATTGATCGACCAGCCAGGACCTCCCCCAACCCTCCCCACAACCCCCTTCTCCACAATAACTAAGAACAGCATTTGCTTTAAATTTTGCATTTGCTTGGAATTTAAATACGTGGTTCGAATCCCCGAAAGAAAATTAAAATAGTCATCGTCCACAACTTTCAAACGGCTTAAAACAATTTCTTTTAGTCGGAAGTGTCTGGCCATGAGATACCCTGCAAGCTGCGAGCTTTATGATGCAGCTAATACTCTTTTTCTTCTTCAACCAATCTATCTATCGGCGCCTATTGTCCGATTTTTATAAGATCTTTGGGGCCTTATTGTGGCGTAAAAAATTGTGCATATACCAAAGATTAAGGCTTTAGCTTTTAATATAAGAATTTATTCTATTTTGGCCGAAATTTGTAAAGATACCAAAAAAATCCAGTTATTCTGGAGCTATTTGAAAGCTTACATACTAAGGTTTGTGTACCTAGCTCATATAAGCTTAGAGGTCTGGACAAGAAGCATATCAATATTGATTTTTAACGATCTCAACGTTAAAGCTGATTTAAAATAAGCAGGATCTAATCTAGTATTAAGAGTTCCCATGCAGCCATCCACTCGACTGTTGATGCTGTAGAACATATGAAAATAATGGGTCGGAGAAGCTTCCTTAAAATCCTGCATAACCAAACATAGGGTTACTTATTTGCAGGGTATTAACAAGAATTTATATACTTCATGAGGTCGGAGACGTCTCTGCTGCCTATACAAAATAATTATACCCCATTAACCCATTTGCAGGGTATAAAGAAGTATATATATTTCCTTATTGTTTGGGAGAACTCTCCTTCCGCCTATTAGACACACTTGCACAAAATTATTCTACCCTGTTTACCCATTTAGAATGGGTATTCAAAATATTTTGAACCGATCTGGCATTCTAGTCTGGCTGCTAGTCTGGCAGCACTCAAGTAACAACGATCTGGCAACGCCGTGGCGAACTTGAAAAGTTTGTATTTTCTAATGAAGGCGAAAAAAAGTAGGCGCTGTTTTAATGTCAACTGTCAGAGAGACTAAATGAGTTGCAGTTTTCCAGTTTCCTCATAATTCTCTTAAACTCGTCCGAGCAACACAAGAAAAGTCTCATATTCTTTATACAAATACGGTTTTTTTTTCGTTCGTTCAAATTAAACAAAAAAACGCCTAAAAAGAACAAAAAAAAAAAAGGAAAAACAAAAATAGGAAAAGAAAAACAAACGCCAAACGTGTGGACAAACAATTTGTAAGATAAATATTAACGAGATAGGCGCTATATTGCAGAAATATTTTAAAGTAACTCAAACGATGGGCTACGACAACTACAACAACGGCACCGAGGTCGCCGAATCTGGCCAGGCGGCGGCGGCGGCCATCTATGCCGGCGGCAATGGGAATATGGTCGCCGATGAACAATTTGCTGCCGCCGCAGCGGAGCTGCAGCCGTCGCTGAATCGTGTACTCAGCTCGATTGATTATGATTTGTGCTTCAAGCATCCGCTGGAGCACACCTGGACGCTGTGGCATTGGGAGAACGATCGCACCAAATCCTGGTCCGATATGCTCAGCGATGTGACCAGCTTCAATACGGTCGAGGATTTCTTCAGGTGGGCTGCGCTTTCAGGCCGAGATTCTTCTCTTTTATATCAATTGTATTTGCAGCGTCTACTATTTTATTAAGCCACCATCCGATCTGAAGGTATTCAATGATTACATGGTTTTTAAGCATGGCATACGGTTAGTTGGCGCCTCTTTCATTAAATATATTTCATATAGCTTATATATTTCTCTGATAGCCCAATGTGGGAGGACGATGTCAACAAGGACGGCGGACGTTGGGTTATGTTTCTGGACAAGGATTCCAAGGAACTGGTAGACAAGCTCTGGCATGATTTGGTAATCTTTTGTGGCCTTTACTTTTCTTATTTACTATATTTTTGCATTTATTTTATTTGGGTTTTTTTTATTTTGCAGCTGCTGTGCACAATTGGCGAGTGCTTCGAGTATTCGGATCAAATCTGTGGCGTGGTCATCAATGTGCGCAACAAGGCCAGCAAAATATGTGAGTATCGGATGGGAGTAGGAAAGGGTATTGCAAATGGGGTATTATTCACTTTCAACGAAGTATGTAACGCTGTGAGCATTGTCTACAGTCGAGACCACATGGATGTGTTGGTCTATTATTTAGTCGGGTCTGTTAATTTCAGTTCGAATTGAAACACACAGCTGTAAGAAAATTTGTAGAAAATAGTTTTTATACAAATTCGTTTTTAGATATCCTTAACAATTTCTATGCATGTTTGCATTGCTTCTATAGGGAGAACTAGTATTATTTCGGTAGTTATCGTTTTTCTCAAATTCTCGAACCATGCCCATATGAATACTTAACCAAATTGCTCGTTCAGATAGTTAATTTCTATAATTTTTGTATCAATAGCACTGTGGACCAAGGACTCGCACAATCAACAGGCGATTTTGGCAATTGGACGCAAAATGAAGCAGCTGCTGCAGCTGCGCGAGGTGGAACTGCAGTACCAGGTGCACAAGGATGCCATGGTGCAGGCGGGGCCCAATGTGAATGCCATTTACAAGTTGTAAATTGCCAATGAAATAGAGCCAACAAATTATTAATCGAAAAAGAAAGAAAATAACAAGTGCAGATCACAAACGCGGCAACTGGAAGCGGCGTCTACTTAGTTTAAGCACTCAACGGGCATCGTAAATGCTTTGTTCTTGGCTAGAACTGAGCATAATACGATCCCCCGTCCCCGTCGTCTCTCCCCCCCCTCTCCTCTCTGTGCATTATACTTGGATACTTTATACACCACGAAACATTTATACACACACACACACACACACAATATGGTGCTACACTCTGTACTCTCCAATAAAGAATAAAGAATTGCATTAAGGCGAAACGCCTTTTTTCTGTGCCGGGGAGCATAGAGATGCGCGCGTGTCGTGCCTTCTCGTGCCCAGCCAAATGAAACACGAAAATATTGGGGATATATGGGAAGGGAAAAAGAAGAGAATCATTATCTGATTCGATAATCGTAATCTATGCATAATATATCCTAGTTATATTCCAACTCGTAGAAAGAGTACCAGAATTTTATTTCGTGCTTTTTCCCCAACCTCACGCGCTCATTTCTAGTTGGGTGTCGGGCGCTGCTTGCCTTGCGGGCCGTCAAATCCGGCACGTAGCCACGCGTTGTCCTTTAGCCCAGGCTCACGTTTGCCTAGAGCGTGTCTCCGCACCGCCCAACCGACCTCCCGCCCGCTCATTCCCCCGACTGTTCCACTTCTTGGCTGGCACTCACTTTATGGCGATTATCCTTTGCGCCATAATTTTGGACATTTTTGCTGTCGTGTCGCGTCGTGCGCTTATGTCTCCACATGGGCTCCGCCCCTCTTTCTGGTCCTGTGGGCGTGCCAGTTACGCTGGTCTTTTGTGTTTATGCCATGCATAGCAAATTGTGTGCAATTTATGAAAATATGTTCGGACACGCCCACTTCTCGCACGTGGACACATGACCACGTAATACGTAATATGTAATACGTATACGTAATATGATGTGATTGTTGTAATTTGTTTGGATTTGGCCTTTTATTGTTTTATTGAATTATGAAGTGGCATTTGCCAAATGACAGAAACGTGATACACTAGCCAACACACACACACACGCACACACACACAGACACACTCTGGCACACACACACACACACACACACATGGACATCCTGTCACGTTGCCTGCATGTTTTAATATCGAGTAAAAAATTCCTTTGGCCAGGCAAAAGAATGCATGCAGTTTTATGCGCATTGATATGCCACCTGGCAGCTGACAGCATGCAGCACATACCTGCATCTACTGGTCCTGTTCATCTTCTTCTTTTAGACAAGCCAAATACAGTAGGTCCTTTGCGTGAACAGCCATATTTACTAAACAATAAGTGTATTGCGCGGAATTTCTTTTGACAAGTGAATATCTTTGAGAGATTTTATTTTAGACGTGCTACGTGCAAGGCCCGGCTATATACGCGGGTATGGCATACAGACATACATAGGTCGAAATTATCCACTCCCTAAACTCGTCTAAAGCTCATCCGCTATTTAGATCAATTTGGCATCCAAATATGACAACTCTATTCTTAGTCAAATTTATTGTTATTTATATATTTAATGATCATATTTGCAATTGTATATGTAGACTGTAGATGCAGATAATATAAGGTATAGCAGCCCATGCCCTGATCTGATCTAATATATTCGTATTTATCATAAATGATCAAGTAATAATGCAGAAGTATTTACGTTTAGTAAGACATCGCCAGGTCTGATTTGTCTTAGTGTATATTCTTGTTTCTATATATAATGTATATATGCATTTTGAACTTACCCCGCATCCTATCCTCCTTTTTGGTTATAGGTGTTTATGTACTTACCTTACATCCCATCCATACAAATAGGATAGGTCCTTCTTTTATATATTGATGATAGAGGCAGATGTAATAATCGCATCCGTATCCAGGTCTGATTACGCTGAAAATATGTGAATGTACATATACATACATACATATGGTTGCCATGCTTACATAAATACATACTTATGAATATATGCACGCATGCATATATGTTAGCATGCATGCACGCATATATGTAAGTGAACATGACTGCATATATGCATGCTTGTATGTGTGTATATGTATGCATGTTTGTTCGTATATATATTCTAACATGCACACATACACACATACATCCATACATCCGTGCATTCATATATACACACAACATATACATACATACATACATACATGCACACATGCATTCATGACTTGGTCAAAATTTCCCACACCCATAACTCGGCCAAATCTCATCCGATTTTCAAAAGGTTTGGCTCGTTTCTCTTGATTTAGCCTCTAGATTAATCAAAAGGTTTGGCTCTTTTGCCTTGGTTTAGCCTCTAGATCAAATTGGCATCAAGACCTGGCAACATGATTTTTGGTCAAAATTCATTTGAAAATCGTACCCTCAAATATCGTCAAATTTCCTATATAGACATTGGTCGAAGCTTCCCACCCGCATAACTTGGTCAAATCTCATCCGATTTTCAAAAGGTTTGGCTCGTTTCTCTTAGTTTAGCCTCTAGATCAATTTGGCATCAAAACCTGGCAACATGATTTTTGGTCAAAATTCATTTGAAAATCATACCCTCGAATATCGTCAAATATCCTACATAGACATTGGTCGGAGCTTCCCACCCCCATAACTTGGTCAAATCTGATCCGATTTTTGCGAGGCTTGGCTCGTTTCTCTTAGTTTAGCCCCTAGATCAATTTGGCATCAAAACCTGGCAACATGATTTTTGGCCAAAATTCATTTGAAAATCATACCCTCAAATATCGTCAAATATCCTATATAGACATTGGTCGGAACTTCCCACCCCCATAACTTGGTCAAATCTCATCCGATTTTCAAAAGGTTTGGCTCGTTTCTCTTAGTTTAGCCCCTAGATCAATTTGGCATGAAAACCTGGCAACATGATTTTTGGCCAAAATTCATTTGAAAATCGTACCCTCAAATATCCTATATAGACATTGGTCGAAGCTTCCCACCCCCATAACTTGGTCAAATCTCATCCGATTTTCAAAAGGTTTGGCTCGTTTCTCTTAGTTTAGCCCCTAGATCAATTTGGCATCAAAACCTGACAACATGATTTTTGGCCAAAATTCATTTGAAAATCGTACCCTCAAATATCGTCAAATATCCTACATGGACATTGGTCGAAGCTTCCCACCCCCATAACTTGGTCAAATCTCATCCGATTTTCGCGAGGCTTGGCTCGTTTCTCTTAGTTTAGCCCCTAGATCAATTTGGCATCAAAACCTGACAACATGATTTTTGGCCAAAATTCATTTGAAAATCGTACCCTCAAATATCGTCAAATATCCTATATAGACATTGGTCGAAGCTTCCCACCCCCATAACTTGGTCAAATCTCATCCGATTTTCAAAAGGTTTGGCTCGTTTCTCTTAGTTTAGCCCCTAGATCAATTTGGCATCAAAACCTGACAACATGATTTTTGGCCAAAATTCATTTGAAAATCGTACCCTCAAATATCGTCAAATATCCTATATAGACATTGGTCGAAGCTTCCCACCCCCATAACTTGGTCAAATCTCATCCGATTTTCGCGAGGCTTGGCTCGTTTCTCTTAGTTTAGCCTCTAGATCAAATTGGCATCAAAACCTGGCAACATGATTTTTGGCCAAAATTCATTTGAAAATCATACCCTCGAATATCGTCAAATATCCTACATAGACATTGGTCGAAGCTTCCCACCCCCATAACTTGGTCAAATCTCATCCGATTTTCAAAAGGTTTGCCTCGTTTCTCTTAGTTTAGCCCCTAGATCAATTTGGCATCAAAACCTGGCAACATGATTTTTGGTCAAAATTCATTTGAAAATCGTACCCTCAAATATCGTCAAATATCCTATATAGACATTGGTCGAAGCTTCCCACCCCCATAACTTGGTCAAATCTCATCCGATTTTCAAAAGGTTTGGCTCGTTTCTCTTAGTTTAGCCCCTAGATCAATTTGGCATCAAAACCTGACAACATGATTTTTGGCCAAAATTCATTTGAAAATCGTACCCTCAAATATCGTCAAATATCCTATATAGACATTGGTCGAAGCTTCCCACCCCCATAACTTGGTCAAATCTCATCCGATTTTCGCGAGGCTTGGCTCGTTTCTCTTAGTTTAGCCCCTAGATCAATTTGGCATCAAAACCTGGCAACATGTTTTTTGGTCAAAATTCATTTGAAAATCGTACCCTCAAATATCGTCAAATATCCTATATAGACATTGGTCGAAGCTTCCCAACCCCATAACTTGGTCAAATCTCATCCGATTTTTGCGAGGCTTGGCTCGTTTCTCTTAGTTTAGCCTCTAGATCAAATTGGCATCAAAACCTGACAACATGATTTTTGGCCAAAATTCATTTGAAAATCGTACCCTCAAATATCGTCAAATATCCTATATAGACATTGGTCGAAGCTTCCCACCCCCATAACCTGGTCAAATCTCATCCGATTTTCAAAAGGTTTGGCTCGTTTCTCTTAGTTTAGCCTCTAGATCAAATTGGCATCAAAACCTGACAACATGATTTTTGGCCAAAATTCATTTGAAAATCGTACCCTCAAATATCCTATATAGACATTGGTCGAAGCTTCCCACCCCCATAACTTGGTCAAATCTCATCCGATTTTCAAAAGGTTTGGCTCGTTTCTCTTAGTTTAGCCCCTAGATCAATTTGGCATCAAAACCTGACAACATGATTTTTGGCCAAAATTCATTTGAAAATCGTACCCTCAAATATCGTCAAATATCCTACATGGACATTGGTCGAAGCTTCCCACCCCCATAACTTGGTCAAATCTCATCCGATTTTCGCGAGGCTTGGCTCGTTTCTCTTAGTTTAGCCCCTAGATCAATTTGGCATCAAAACCTGACAACATGATTTTTGGCCAAAATTCATTTGAAAATCGTACCCTCAAATATCGTCAAATATCCTATATAGACATTGGTCGAAGCTTCCCACCCCCATAACTTGGTCAAATCTCATCCGATTTTCAAAAGGTTTGGCTCGTTTCTCTTAGTTTAGCCCCTAGATCAATTTGGCATCAAAACCTGACAACATGATTTTTGGCCAAAATTCATTTGAAAATCGTACCCTCAAATATCGTCAAATATCCTACATGGACATTGGTCGAAGCTTCCCACCCCCATAACTTGGTCAAATCTCATCCGATTTTCGCGAGGCTTGGCTCGTTTCTCTTAGTTTAGCCCCTAGATCAATTTGGCATCAAAACCTGACAACATGATTTTTGGCCAAAATTCATTTGAAAATCG